CCTCTGCATTATGTTCTTGATGCCATCCCACAACTCTTCTGGTCTTTCACCATTAGTGTCTAATGTATTACATCTATATGTGAGATGCTCCTATATGTGAGATGCTCTTTAAGTCCAGGTGATATATACTTAAAGTCATTTTTTGACTCTCATTAACTCATTTTCATTTTCTTGAGCCTTAGCCTGGACTTACATAAAGTAGTAGGTCCTTGGCATTATTTGGCTGATAATATTTCATGTCTCTGTCATCTCTTCCCACTGATAAAGTCCATTTGATAGCTAAGTATTCCACCTAATGAAGAATATACTTCATGAGTATTCCATCTTGTGAGGAAAATACTTCACTTCTGGTAAAGTGTATAGTTGTTGTTAACCTGCGGTGTTTTCAGTGCCTTCCATACTCACTATACCATACAGTGTTCTGCCACTATTCACAAGCTTTTCAGTTGCTGACCCTTCAGAAATGGTCTGCCTCTTCTTCTTCCTAGTCTGTCTTATTCTGGCAGTTCTTCTGAAAGCAGTCCACCATGGTTGACCCTGCTGGTATTAAAAATACTGATGGCATAACTTCTAGCATCACAACATCACACAAATTACCACAATGTGACAAACTGTCAGATGAGTGGGAAGATAATAATAGTGGTCCTGGTGGTTTGTTGTGTGCCATCAAGTTGATTCTAACCCAGTGAATTATTATAGGATTTCGCAAAAAATGTATGACCTGTGCCACCAAACCAATCCTCCCCCATCCTGTCTACCCAAACAGGTTCAATAATTCATTGCAACAGACACACAAAATTCTGACAACAAACACACAATTATGGAATTTATTAGGGAAGGTAACAGATTATAATATTCATGGTCAGAAATGCTCAAGGCACAGTAGTTTCAGTTAGCTGCTGATAAATGCCTATAGGACACACCACTCCACCACAAGCCACACACTGATGGCACTCAGTTCGAGCTCTGTGGGTCAGCAAATCCAGCTCCCCAACTTAAGTCCTTGGAGATACCCCAGTCCACAAGCCCTTTCCAAAGTCACTCATCTTTCCTTACTCCGTGGCCTTGGAATCTCACTGCTATGTCTCATTTTCTGGTTCTTGGCTGTGTTGCTGCTGCTTCTCTGTTACTCCTTTGCTGTATCAGTTACTATTCCTGGGTTAAGGAGGTCCATTGTGCAGGAATCTTAGCTTTTCATCCCTGAATTGAGGAGGTTCAGTGTGCAGGGATCTTACAGTTTAAAGGATACACCCTACTCCTGGTTCTTCTTGATGGTGGTTAGAATCTTCTTACAGCTGCTGATGACTCATTATAAATCCAGCAGGATGGCAAAATTGACAAATACTCTCACTAGATTTTCAAGTTTTTTATTATTAAAATTAATGCTCTAAACAGTCACTCTCAACTGAATTATATAATCCTGTCAGAATCTCTCCATGTTCTCTTACCCCAACCCATCAGAAAGAAATTCTACGCCATCTTCAAAATCATTAAGTTTGAGTCCATTGATGTTACCACTGTGCCAATCCTTCATATTGGGGGTATTCCTCTTTTTAACTGACACTCCATTTTACCAAGCATGATATCCTTCTCAAGAGATTGGTCCCTTTGGGTAATATGCCCAAAGTATAAGAACCAAAGTATGACTGTACTGGCTTTCTAAGGAGCATTCTGCTGTACTACTTCCAACACAGATTTATTTGTTCTTTTGGCAGTC